CAGCCCCGCGGCCCCGCACCCCATTTGATGCGACCCTGGTGCAGGCGGGCCCCCGAGCACCCACCCGGGCCGGGGTCCTCGGGCCGGCAGCCGCGCACAGCGCACTTCGCCCAGCCGTGCCCGCTCCTGTTTCCCACAGTGCCAGCCTCCCCGGACTTTCCCTTTCAGTTTCGGATGGGTGGGTATTGGGGACGCTCAGGGGAGGGGGCGCATCCCTGGAAGCGTCCGCCGCTACCCGACCCCCCGCGCGCTCGGGGACGCGCGAGCCGGGTGCGGGGAAGCGGGGTCCCGCGGAAGGGGTCCCAGCGGCGGCGGTCACGGACCCGGTGCCCCGGCAGGTCTGCGAGGAGCAGAAGTGCGAGGAGGAGGTCTTCCCGCTGGCCATGAACTACCTGGACCGCTTCCTGTCGCTGGAGCCCGTGAAAAAGAGCCGCCTGCAGCTGCTGGGGGCCACCTGCATGTTCGTGGCCTCGAAGATGAAGGAGACCATCCCCCTGACGGCGGAGAAGTTGTGCATCTACACCGACAACTCCATCCAGCCCGAAGAGCTGCTGGTAACCTGAGTGCCACGCGACACCCCGTTAGCTAACGGGCCCCGGGGTGTGGGGGAGACGGACTGGAGGCCCTACTACCCCGGCCCCTCCCGAGGAGCGGGCGGGACCCCCCACTCCCTGCCGCCCCAGCTCGCTTTTGCTCGGACTCCCACCGCGTCTGCATCCCCAGAGGGGCCCAAAAGCGGGCGGTGCGCGCCCTCTAGCGGCGAGGGCGGGCCGCGCACGCTGAGGACGAGGCCCCGCGCGCTCCAGGTGCGCGGGGTCGCCTGCGTCGCCACCTGTGAACTATCATGCGAATGAGCAGCAGCCTTTACACGCCAAGGGGGTTCCTTCTCTTTTTTTAAAAAATCTGGGATCGCATGTTGCCCTTGCCCCCCAGTTCCTGGATCCCCAGCATCTCCATCCCTTCTTTCCAGGCCCCGGTCCCACTCGGCCCCCCAGGGGCTCCCCTGCCCCTCTGGTCACTTGGTCACCTATTTCCACAGCACACCGAGCTGCTGCTGGTGAACAAGCTCAAGTGGAACCTGGCGGCCATGACCCCTCACGACTTCATCGAACACTTCCTCTCCAAAATGCCCGTGGCCGAGGTGCACAAGCAGGTCATCCGCAAACACGCGCAGACCTTCGTCGCCCTCTGTGCCACAGGTAGGGCAAGGGCCGGCTGCCCGGGCCTCCCTGGGTGCTCCTAGCACAGTTCCTTGCCTCTGCCTCAGTTTCCCCACCAGGCCCCTCCTGTCCTCAGAAGGGCTCCTCTTCCCCATTCTGTTGAGCAGAGGGCTTAGGCTGTTGCTGGGCCTGCTAGAGGGGCTGCTGTCCTCCTGATTGGGTGGCTGGTCTGCCTGTGTCCAGCTGCCTTGGCTTCTGCTCCCCACCCCAGGCAGGGGCCTCTCCCCACCCTTCTCCAGTCCTTTCCTGTGTCCTCGAGGAGCTGGAGCATTGGGGCCCCCTCCCGGCCTCTCACAGGCTGGGACACTTGCCAGGGGCGCCTACAGGGGTGGGGAGCCCTGGCCGCCAGTGCCTGCACCACGTGCTCTGGGCGGCCAGCTTGGCCCTCCTGCGGGGGCGGCCACCGGAGGAGCCTGGCTGGGCTGCCTGAGGCCCTGCTAGGGGAGCCTGGCTGAGCCTTGGGAGGGGCTCCAGAGCAGCCTGCGGCTGAGGTCCGCGGCAGGGGGCAGCATCCCCTCCCCCGGCCCAACCCGAGCAGCAGCCAGCCTTTCCAGACCGGACACACCACACACACACAGCGCTGCCCCCAGCCTCACTCCTGACCCCCGTGCCTTTCCTTCCCTCCATGGAGACCCTGACCATGGGCCCCTGCCCCATCCAGCCTCAGCTGTCACACTCTGGGGCTTACTCTGGGCAACCTGACAGCTACACTTGATCAAAGGGGCAAGCTGTCCTCTGGTATCTTCCAGCCCCCCAAAGGGGCAGAGCCCCCAGCCCACATTTCATTGCACCCTCCCGATGTCTGGGTGCCCTGGTGGCTGGTATTTCTGGCTTAGGCGAGAGTTGGGAGGACTCTGCTGGCCTCCCCACCCTTCTCCGAGTCCTTCCAAGTGAGGAGCGGGGCAGATAGACCGGGCTCCCTCTCACCAGGCGCCCTAGCTCTGAGCGGGTGGGGAGTCTCCCACAGGCTGGCCCCTCTGACTGGGGCACCTATGGAGAGGGAGGCCTCCCGAGACTTCCAGGCAGCCTTTTATGGAGCTGACGGTTGTTTGGAAAAACAGCAAAGTTTCCTGGAGCTCCTCGGAGGAGTGGTTCTTGCATACCCTCCCCCCAGGATAGCTGAGCCCTGACGCTCCCCCTCTCCCGAGATCCCTGGAAAGCGTGTGTGCAGCCTGCGGGTGCTGGCAGCGAGGGCAGCAAGCCTGGCGCGCAGGCTGCAAACTGGCCGTGGTCCAGCTCCCAAGCTGCCTCTGCTCAGATGCCTGGCCCACCTGTGGTGATCCAGGTTGTTGCAAACACTACCTCCAGGGTGGGGCCCCAGGGAGACCTCCAGCCTGAGGAAGGGAGCAGCACCCGCCAGGTCCCTCGAGATGCTCGGGGCTTGGGCCTGGCCGAGCCGCACAGTTTGGAGATGGCTGAGATGCAGCCACGGCCTTGGTCACAAAGGGACCTCTCCGGAGATGAGAGTGACAGAGTTGAAGCTCAAACACATACAGGTTATGCGAGATGCAGGTGTGAGCGTGTCCCGCTGGAAGGTGCCACGGGGGGCTCTGCTCTCCCCGCGCCAGGAGACTGGCTTCCTGAATCCCTGCACACGAGCACATGCCGCCCGCCTGGCGCGGGGTTTCACTTTTCCTTAAACGTGTTTGTACGTGGACACTGGAGCCTTTGCTTTTGCTACAGTGGCAACAAAGGTGCCACGCCCAGCACCCAGCTCCAGGCTCAGGGCCCCCAGCTCCCCCATTAAGGTCCTGAAATGAGTGGCCTTTCCCAGCAATAATTCCTCGCCGGGTGTGACAAAAAGGCATGTTCGGCTGCTGCTGGTGCCACCCGTGTCCTCACTGACTTGCCCTCCTCTCCGTGAGAGGTCCCAGCCCCCATGAGCTGTGGGGTGGGGGTGGGCCTGGCCAGGGGCAGGCCCCCCTCACTGGGTGGAGGGTTTCCCTACAGTTTGGGGAAGGAGCTCACTCAGCTCACCCCTGGGGGAAGGCCAGTGGCCTAAGCACTGATTTAGGGTGCCTGCCGCCCTGGGCGAGGCCGGGCCCAGTGCAGGACACGAGCGGGGGAGGGGGTGTTTCTGCTCTCAGGAAGTGCCCTCCCCAGGCCTCGGCCGTGTTCCAGAGGGGCAGGGTCAGCCAGGGAGGGGTCCCCCAGGGGCTGCATCAGGTTGCTGGTTAGTGAGTGAAGGACACAAGCTCCCGCATGAGGTACATCTGGAGCCTGGGGCCTGCTCTTGTGCCCCGGTGGGGACGGGACCAGAGCCGGGTGCAGGGACTCCCTCCAGTGACCGCCCAGGGCCTGCTGAGCACAGATCAGATCACAGGGATCCTGTGGAGCACCCCCACTCAAGGCCCCCTTGCCTCTCCCTCTCCGCAGACGTGAAGTTCATTTCCAACCCTCCCTCCATGGTGGCCGCAGGGAGTGTGGTGGCCGCGGTGCAAGGCCTTCATCTGGGGAGCTCCAACAGCGTCCTGTCCTACCACCGCCTCACCCGGTTCCTCTCCAAAGTGATCAAGTGCGACCCCGTAAGTAACCCCCCACTCCCGCCGGCTGGGGCGGGACCTGGAAGTCTCAGAACCAAATGCCGGTGCTTGGGGTGCCAAGGCCACAGTTAGTGCCGCGGCCCCATCCCCCAGGATGACAGGGGT